CCAAGCAACACTGTACAACAAAACAGCAACAACATCAATCCACTGACGATGAACAAATTAAAATATACCAAGCAAGAAAAACTTGTGTTTTCCAGAGACTGTAACTCTTTACAGGAGTAGAAAGCCCTGTCAGACTCCTGAGGAGCTACAGGTGTTCTGAACTGCGGACCTGCAATTAACAGGTCACGAAGATTCCGTGCTCTAGAGACCAGGCTTCCAAAGCTTAGCGGACATCAGAATCACCGGGAAGGAAAGCTTTTACAACATACAATACTAGGCTCCATCCTCGGTGTTTCCGATTCAGCAGGTCCAAATGGAACTGATAATCTGTACTTTCTAACAAGTTCTCAGATAATGCTACTGCTGCTGGTCCCAGGGTTTGTCACAGTTCTCTAGTTACCTGCCAGTCACTGAGAAGTTATGTGGAGGCAGGAAAAACCAGTTGAAAGCCAATGGGCTAGAATGATTCATGAGTTAAAGAATATGCTGATGTTTTCGGTGTTGCGGTCTTGGATCAAACAAGAATCACAAATCAAAACATTAGATTAAAAAAACCCGAAACACCACCAAACATGAAGACTTCAGCATATCAAAGCACGTGGGGGCACATTTTGTAACCAAACTTGCAGTCCTTGCCGTCTTAGGCACTCGCTTACCCACTGTCATCGAGTCAATGATGCCTAGTATCAGCTCCATGATCTTCACCGGGGCAGACAGCCTCCATGTCTCTCCCATGGGACGGCTGGTGGATTCGAACCACTGACCATGCGCTTAGCCTAGCCCACTGCACCCCCAGGGCTCCAGAGGCACCAGCTTAGGAGGCAATATGCACATTCTGAAGGATGGTGACCAATGCCCCTCACGCCTAAGACCTGTTGTAAGAGACAGTGAACGGTGCTCTCCCTATCCAATGGATACACGGCACACTGTGGAGAAGGGGGGCCAGAGCTCGGATGTAAACTAGCTGGTTGAGCCGTGAAGATTAAGGCAAGCAGGATTCCAGGATTTACGGTCGCTCAGTGGGATGAGCTCTGAGGGACAGGATTGCAAGTAATGACACGAAATAAACTGTGCACCAAATGTTAATGGGAAACGAATCTGCCCTGTAAACTTTCACCTAGATTCTTTTAAAAGCGAAAACAGCCAACTATAACCAAATATCATAATAAGTTATTCTTGTTATTTGTATAACTCTTACTAGGTATGAACTGTAGGGTGGAGGACAACTATTTCTTAAAAAACTTAGGAAAGTGCTTTGCATCCAGTAGGCACACACATCGCTTTAGATTTACATTGGGCATGTAATTATATGCTTAAATTTGGTGGACAACTAGAAATTGGGATAAAATATTAGGTCATTTCCAGAGCTGGTCTTTTTTTTTTTTATAAGAAGGAAATTCTACATTTAAAGAATTATTTTGACCAAACTGGCACATTTTAAACCAATCAACATTTTGTCCAGCTTCTTTATAGCTATTACATTTTAATCTAGTTAGGGAAATGCTTATAATTTCACTTGGGGGGGTGGGGGAAGCTGATCACAAAATTAATTTCAAAACGGTCCCAATTTCACTGGGGTGGATCACACATGGGTGAATTCCTTAAATGCAAGAAACTAACTTCTAAGATAAGGGCTACAGTACCTCTCCAGTGCCTGCTACTTCAGTGGGTGTTTGAAAATGGCCAGGGGAGGGACGAAGTGCAGGGTATGTGTGTCTGCCATCCATGAAGAGGATGAGAGTGCTGACTGTTCAGAGTGGGTGTGTATTCAAAAGCAGGTAAATGCTTTCACCGTAATCTCCCCTAAAAATGGCAAGGACAGTTCCTGTTCCAGATTTTTCTACAACTAACTAAACACTGGGAGGACAGTTTCCTCTCCCTTGCTAAATGTCTCAAGCACTTAGCCTAGTGTCAGGGAGCCCATGTGGTGCAATGTTGGGCTGTGATCCCTATGGTTGGCAGTTCGAAACCACCAGAAGCTCCTTGGGAGAACGACTGGGCTTTTGACTCCGAAACCCACTGGGGTCACTATGAGTTAGCACGGAGGCTAGGACCATTCAGGAATGGTAGGGTTTGAGTTGTGGAGAAGTTGAAGCCACGAGGCTAGGGACCATTCATGTAGTAAGTCTTAACTCACCCCACACAGGTTTTGTTGTTTGCTTTTATACTGGTGTTCAGGAGACAGCATGGGATGACCTACGACTTAGTCATGAATGGTCCCTAGCCTCATGGTTTCAACTTCTCCACAACTCAAACCCTACCATTCTTGCAAATCCTGACCCGCACGCCACCCTAAGTTCTTGACTTCCAGGTCAATCTTGCAATTTAATCTTTCTCCCGCGACGGTCTTGCCCTGCCTAGCATTGTGCTGAGTCTATGGGACAGAACTCAAAACTGTTGTTTAATTCAATAGACTTCACGGAGCCAGTGAGGAGGTCTGGTTCATCTTAAAGTGTAACCTGTGATTGCCATTCCTGTTGTTTTCCATCTTCTCATTCCATTGTACATTTGGTACCCAGTATCTTGATAATACTAAGTATTTAGCAATGTACTACTCCAAAAGGGTTCACCTCGATGGAGACCTCTACTACCCTTTAAAAAACGAACAAAGGCTGTAGAGCAGCGCTAGTGCTGGCCAGGCACTCTCCTGGGCAGTTTGCACAGGTATCAACCAGTATTGCTCACCAGTTCTCTGAGGGAGGTACTATTAATAGCTAGCTCCACTTTACAGAAGAGGAATCAGGTACAGACAAAGCCAGTAACGGACGCGTCTAAGGTGACACAGCTAGCAAGTGGCAGGGCTGGGATTAAACCCACAGTGGGGCTCCAGGGGAGTCCCTACAGAGATGGGAGGGAAGGAATTTTATAGGGGCTCCCGGTTAAATGAAAGCCTCATTGACTGACCACACTTTGCAAATGATGATCAAGTTTGAACATTCTAGCGCCATCTGGCAAAAGGCTTTATATTTTATTTTTAAAACTTCCTACACTTAGGTGTGGTGTTGGGGGAGGGAATAAACAGAAACCTTTGCAGAATACAGAAAAGTTCTGCCAATCGCCTCACTCAGTGGCAGTGAGTTTTGGGGGGAGAATTACAGGTAAAGCGTTTACCTCCATATGAAGTCACCGCCTACAGTCAGAGCTCCCAGCCTGGGGTTAAGACAGCCTCCTCCCGGCACTCCATCCCTCCCGAGACCATTTTTCACTAGCATTGAAATGCCACCCAGTACACTTCCCATCTGCATCCCAGCACCTACTGTGTACAGAGTGACGAAGCAATAAGCACATTTTATTAAGACCTTTCTTATTTTAAAAGGTAAATAAGCTATCCGTGATATGGCTATCATCCCTCCAAAATGGCGAAGCCTGACCAAAACTGTCCCAATTAGTATAACACCACAATTGAGATCATTTGCATTACAGGGAGGTGCAAGTCGGCTAATTTATCAAAATCCTGCTCCACCAAATGAACACACACACACACACACACACACACACACACACACACCCCGAATGCAAACCCTCAATGGCTAACTCCATGCTGTGCTGAATTATTCCCAAAACTTGGACCCACCCAGCACCAGGAATTTAAATTCTTCATATGAGATGATAAAGTACATAATAATAGGTTTTCCTCGTACATTATGCCCTTCAAATTTTCTCCCATCTTGCCTCCCCCATTCAGCCCATCTCCACTGTAAAGAGCCCCCTAAAAGGCTCAGATAAAAAGCCCAAGCTCTCCAGGTCACACCCCTTCTCGTGTGCTACATCCCACAATTACACCATATGCTTTCTCCAGATAAGGACGAGGAAGAACCGGAATTTAAGATGCAGAAGAATAAGGAGGCGCGTAAAATGGCCACTTCTGCAGCATCTGAGGCCGGCAGAGCATATTTAAACATCAAAAGCCCGAGGCTAAACGAGTCATGAATAAGAGCAGATAGACCAAGAGGATGAAACAATAAATAGATGAAAGTTTTCCGGCGATACTATCGAGAATAATTAAGCCTGACTCAAGGAAGCCTCAGGTTCAACGTGGAGGAGAGAAACAGAAAACCAGGAGCAAGTCAGTAAAGCTTCGGTATTGAATTTGGTCTTATAATATTCAGCGAAAACGGCAGTCTTTTGTTTCATTTGCAGTCTGGATCTTCCCCGCCTGCTTTCCCCACCCCACCCTACCCCGGCCCACCCCACCCCCTCCCATCCACCGCAGTGATCTTGAAGGGAGCTGCGGAGCCCCAAGAAACATAACGGTCGCCAGCAGAGGCCACGTTACCCCAACCTCACGCGTCCCAGCTCGGGGCCGTGAGCTCCAGCAAAGGCCCCAGATCCCAGGCAGGCCTGGCTGGGGGCCTCCCCCTGTCCTGGGGCGCACCCGCCCACCACAGGCCCACAAAGCCCCAGCCAAGGCCAGCATGCAGCCGATTCAACTTCCCGCTGACCCCATTCCAGTCCGATTTCTGGGGGCCAGGCTGTAGCCCCAACAGCCGAAGGCCAGGAAGGCGCTGCGGCCAGCCCTTCTCTGACCACTCACACAATAAAAGGGATCCCGAGGCGAGGGCTGACCCTTCCCCCCACCACCACCCTGCTGCAATGTGCCCCGCCACATTTCCCGCCTCGCGCCCCTCAAACCGCCCGGGCCTCGCCAAGCGTCCAGCCCGGCCCGGGAGGTCTCCGGAGCGGCTCCTGGACGCCCCCAGCCGGGTCTCCCTTCCACGCACCAGCCGCGTCCGACGGATCCCCGCGCTCGCGCCGCGCGCTTCCCGGGCCGCGCAGAGCCCCGGCCCTACGGCCCCTCCATCCCGCAGGATCGGGGCGCGCAAACCGGCCTAGCCCACCCCGGGGCCCTCCCTCCCGGGCCGGCGCCCCAAGCCCAGCCCCGTCCAAACGAGGTCGCGCTTCCAAGCTCGCCCCAGGCGCCCCCTCCCCTCCTGGGCGGCGGGCGCAAACCCGGGAGGCACCCCGACCTCCACTCGCCCTACCCCCGTGGGCGCCAGAGCACATCACTTGGTACCCCGAGAGGTCCCACGCATGGGGTGGCAGGTCCCCACTCCAGGACCCCCATCTCCAACCAACACCACCCCCACCCCCCGCCCCAGGGTCGCCCTCCCACACACCCAGGCCCAGGTCCTTGCAAGGGTCTCACTCCCAAGGGCCTCCCGCCGCGCCCTTCCAGGGGTCCCCTCAGGTCCCCTCAGGCAAGAACCGACGGCCGCTGCAGCGCAGCCCTCCCACCCCGAGTCCCCTCTGCCTTCCCCCGGGCTCCCGCTCCAGCTCCGTTCCAGCCCCCCGGGGCCGCGCCGTCGCCTCAGCCCGAGATCCTTCTCCCCCCGCTTCCACACCGCCCCCCACCTCCCGCCGCCGGCCTCGGACCCGGGCAGCCGAACCTCTCACCTTCAGCGGAAGATGGTGGCGCCGGCGTACGTCCCAGCCGCGACCACAGAAGCGGCGCCTCAGTCCCCAACCCACCGCTGCCCCCGCCGGGCTCCTTTAGGTCCGCGGCTCGGGGCTGCCCCACCCACTCCCACCCTCATTGGGCCAGCCCCACGCCCATCACCGCCGCCCCCAGACCCACTGGTCCGTTTGCGCGCCCATCTCCAAGGGAAGACGTTAGCAACGCGAACGAAGCTACCTTCCCGAAGGCCGACGCCCTCCACCCACCTGAAGTGATGCTCATTGGCTCCCGCTCCCAGCCCAGGCCCCCGGAGCCCAGCTCTCATAGGCTGTCGCTCACGTCCATCACTGGTTCCGGGAGGTGTGGCCGGGGCCGCGGCGGGCGATTGGCTGGCTCGCGCGG